TGACATTCGCACTTGGAATCATTCCCCTCGAGTGTTTAACTCTAGAATAATTACCACCCTTGTTCTTAAACCTTTGAATTTTCCTTCGTTTCTTCATCGAACGAACGAGCACGACAATATCTTCCCCCCCATCATCGATGATTCTCGAATAAAATTGAGTCATCGCGTTTATCATCGATGTAAACAAGTCGAATAAACATCGAAAACAAGAAATTCTTATATCGACGCGTCAACTTGTGAAAAATCCGAGATATACGAAATCAATTTATCACTCGTGCCTTAACTCTGTGTCCGATTCTACGATAAATTCTACGTATCAATTATACATACGATTTCTAAAAATTTTTCCTCAAGTTCAACCGAGTCATCGCCAATATATAAGTATATACCCAGAAAATGAATCATTAAAATGAACTTGGAATCATTAAATTATACAATTTTTTCATTTTCTTTACGTTCAATCGAAACGCAATATCCAACCGAATATCATCGAATGTGAACAAGCCAAATTTAAAATTCTATCTCGTTCAAAAATGCAATGAAAAAGACTATCCACTGTGCCCCAGAGCGCAATGCAATCTCCCTGAAGGTAGGAAAGAGAAACAACTGTTTTGGAAAAACGACTGGAACAGGAAGCAACGGTTCGTGTGTACTGAATCGCATGCCTCTCTGCGGGATTCCGGTTATTGTTCATTAAGACGGTAAATCATTAATGGCGGAGTGTTTGGCAATAACAGTATCGGTAAGTAATAGCCCGTTGAACCGGGCGCGGCATATACACGTACGTCTAGCAATGCGGTTGGTCGTAGCGTTCCGTTGTAAAATGGCCTTAAGGTGTGCTCCCAGTGTCCGGTTACGTGAAACTGTTCGCTCGATACCGGTACAATTTTGTCTATCGATTCGTGCCGAGTTATGCACCGTCGTCGTCGCCGTTCGATATCGTTGTGCAACCGCGGCACAAATATTGCATCTCGCGCGTTAATCGCTCGCCATGGATGGACTATGTGCTAACCACGTAACAGCGCGATGGAAAAGGTGTTAACGTACCGGGAACGAGACGCTAACGAATTCGTCGTGCTCCAATTTTATCCGTAAACGTCGTCCGATTTTTCGAAGTTGCTTTTCAGAGCGGAAGAGAAAGAGGTTAACAGGAGAGGAAGAATTAAGGAATTTACGAAGAGAGAACTGATAATTTTTCTTACAAATATCAAGCTAATTTATTTATCCTTTCTCTTCGTCCACTTCGATCCACTCGTTTGATCAACCTTCGGCTTTTATCTCGAGAAATGTCGAATAAAATGTTAAAAATGTCTCGTCGATAATTTTGATCGAACGGGAGGAGGAGCGTCGACTCGAGTCGAGGCGAAGCGAAGGCGAGGGGAAATATCGATCGTCGTCGTTCTCTCTCTTTCTCTTTCTCTCTCTCTCTCACTCTCGTTCGCTCGTTCCCGGGGAGAGATTAATTATGTATGAGTTACTTACTTTCGCGCGTTTAGATGTCGCCCCTCCCTCTCCTTCCCTTTCCCCCACCCCGAGCCCGTGCCAGTGATCCGACGCGAAGGCATAAAGCGAGAGAGTCGAGAGAGTCCTTGCCGCAGCCTTGCGTTTTCTCCTTGAGGCTTCGAGTATCTATTTAAATATCGAGGCGTAGCGCCTCGATCCCCTCCCCTTCGCGGCGGATTTCTAACTCGCTCCAACAGGAGCCGTTTCAACTACTCGTTTTCGTCGCCCTCCCCGCGAGTTTCCGTCTTGGTATTTTCGTCTTTTCCACGCATGACAACGCACGGCCGTTGACACGGTTTATTAGATGATTGCTGTCCTCTTCTCTCCCTCCCTTTCGAATTCTTTGTTGTCGTCGAGAAGAAGGAGGAGGAGGAGGAGGAGTGGGCCGGTTTAAAGAGATCGTCTTATGTATGTCTTGGGAGAGGGGTCCCGCGTGGGGGATAAATGTAAGGTGGAGGTTTCGTATATTGGGTGTAATCGGTTTTGTTGCTGCGTTGAACTCGTATTAGGTTTTTTTTTTTTAAGAGGTGGTTTTTAAAAATGTCAGAATAGACGAGTTGAATATATGTTACGTATATATATAAAATTGTGTAAATATAAAACGATGTTACGGAGAATAAATTTATTCGCGAAAAAGGGATAAAATTATTACGATGTTTGATGAATAAGATGCAAATTCTTCTTCTTCGATGGATTAACACAGCGGATGACAATCATATTCAAGGATTTCATATCCTTTTTATTTTTTACGATTATTGGGAACGTTGAGAAAATCGTGTGTTTTCCTTTCGAGAAAATTAAATATTGCAATTTATTGAGATTGAAATGTAATTACACGCGCTTATTTATTTTCATCCCGTCACTTTAATTACAATATGCAAAATAGATATTACAGGTCGATAGTTCTAACAGTTCTTAAGTTTCAGTATTCACGCGAAATTTTATTTTCAAACACATTTTCTTGAGGTACAGTATATCCATAGAGCTGTTGAAAAACTCAATGTTAATTTGATCAAAAAAAAAAAAAAAACATTTTTAATACACGTACGCTTAATTAACTTTTCCAGCAATCGTTTTCTTCCATTCTCCAAATTCGTCCCCTTAACTTTCTCTCGGCTGTATCCTCTCGAAAAATTACTGGCGAAAAAAGAAAAACTTCCTCCTTCTTTCATCCTCGACCGGAAACAAAAATCTCTTCCCCCTTCCCGAATATTCAATAAACACGATCAAACAGAAACTGTCAACGCAACGGAGAAAGAGACAGAGGGAAAGAGAGAGAGAGAGAGAGTCGGGACAAAGAGTCGGTCGCGGGATTCTGGCTCGCCTTGACGCGGAGCCCCCGTCAAGTTCCTGTTTCCTTCTTCAAGGTCCGCCGATGGCCGACGTCTGAGTCAACGCGCTTCCAACCCGGTGTCCCTCGTGTTTTTCCGTCCACTCCTCGCGCTATTTCTCAATGCACCCGGGTACATTGTTCCCGATGTGATGACCCGAGCCGTGCTCTCACGGCCATCGAGATGAGCCATCGAGCTTCTTCCCTTCCACCTTCTCTAAATCTGCTTCCTGCTTCTTTAAATCGTTTCGTTTTCGTCCAAAAAAGGGTGGAGGATTCCAGTTCGCTTCGATCCGATTTCTCAAAGATTTGACAAAGATTCGAAGAGGAAAGAAACGATGGGTTAATCGACGAAAGTTCGTACAATTGGCAGATAGACGATTGTTTTTATTTAAAAATCGGCGAAAGCGATGGATTGAATATGGTATGAAGAAACGTGAATCAGAGTTTCGTTTTCAAAAAGAGAGGATTCCAGTTCGCTTCGATGCGATTTCTCGACGATTTGACAAAGATTCGAAGAGGAAAGAAACGATGGATTAATCGACAAAAGTTCATATAAGTACAATTGGCAGATAGACGATTATTTTGCTCTAAAAAATCGGTTCTCTAAGAAACGATGGATTAATTAACGAAAATTCATACAATTGGCAAATAAACGATTATTTTTATATAAAAATCGATTCTCTAAGAAACAATGGGTTAATCAATGAAAATTCATACATGCACAATTGGCAGATAGACGATTATTTTGCTCTAAAAAATCGGTTCTCTAAGAAACGATGAATTAATTAACGAAAGTTTATACAATTGGCAAATAAACGATTATTTTTACATAAAAATCGATGAAAATGATAAACTGAATATTGAATGAAGAAATGTGAATCAGAGTTTTGTTTTTTATATATAAAAATCGATTCTCTAAGAAACGATGGGTTAATCAAAAACGAAAATTCATACATGCACAATTGGCAAATAGACGATTATTTTGCTCTAAAAAATCGGTTCTCTAAGAAACGATGGATTAATTAAGGAAAATTCATACAATTGGCAAATAAACGATTATTTTTATATAAAAATCGATTCTCTAAGAAACGATGGGTTAATCAACGAAAATTCATACATTGGCACAATTGGCAGATAGACGATTATTTTGTTCTAAAAAATCGGTTCTCTAAGAAACGATGGAATAATTAACGAAAGTTCATACAATTGGCAAATAAACGATTATTTTTATATAAAAATCGATTCTCTAAGAAACGATGGATTAATTAAGGAAAATTCATACAATTGGCAAATAAACGATTATTTTTATATAAAAATCGGTTCTCTAAGAAACGATGGATTAATTAACGAAAATTCATACAATTGGAAAATAGACGATTATTTTTACATAAAAATCGATGAAAACGATAAACTGAATATTGAATGAAGAAATGTGAGTCAGAGTTTTGTTTTAGTCCAAAAAGAGTGGAGGATTCAATTTTTCAATAATTTGACAAAGATTCAAAGAGGAAAGAAACGATGAATTAATCAATAAATGTTCATATGTATTGGCAGATAAACGATTATTTTGCTCTAAAAATCGGTGAAAACGGTGAACTGAATATTGAATGAAGAAACGTGAATCAGAGTTTCGTTTTCGTCTAAAAAGCATGGAGGATTCCAGTTCACTCCGATGCAATTTCTCGACGATTTGATAAAGATTCGAAGAGGAAAATAACGATGAGTTCAATCAAGGAAAGTTCATACATGTACAATTGGCAAATAGATGATTATTTTGCTCTAAAAAACGGTGGACTGAATGTCGTATGAAGAAACGAACGTGAGTCAGAGTTTGAGCTGTGTTTACTTATAGATTGTTTATAATGGATGAGTCATCCCGATATTTCAATCAGGGCGCAACACAGTCAGTCGGCAATTATTCGTTAAATTAATCTTATCGATGATCATCCGAATCTTTTTTGGAAAAGGAAAAAAAAAGAAAAAATTGACAAAAATGCATACTGGAAAAATCGATAATAATATTTCCAGCTTTGAAAGTAGAAATATTCTTCTCTCTCTCTCTCTCTCTCTCTCTCTTTCTGGGACAATCGAAGAAACACCACCATTCCATGGTGTCCATTTCTCTCTCTTCATCTTCTTCTTTTTTTCCTTCTTTCCTTTTCAGATCAAGTCGCAAGATCAAGGATAGAATTGCGAACAAGGAAGCGAGGATCCAGGGTTAGTAACGTCGAATATGGTGATTCCTGACCGGTGGATCGGAGGTGGATCGTTAATGGAAGAAGGCCCGTCGTGATTTCAATCAGCCTGACCTCCGATTTCCGACTTCCCTGTACGTGATTCGGTCGTCACGGCTTCGTGACTCCAGCGAAATCGGTAAATATCTGAACAACATCGGGACCAACAAACTCTTGACTAACAACTCTCCCTATCCTAAAGATCTTGATCTCTGTGTCGCGTTGTTCATGAGAATTCTTTTCTCTCCTTCCTTTTTTCGATTTCAGATCGAGCTTCATCCGCGCCTTTCCTCTTCGAAGAATGCGCGGGAAAGGGAAACATGTTTGAAAAACGTGCTTCGATCTCCCGCCTCCTTACTAAACGTAAGTACACATCGAATTAAACATATCATAAAATTAATTAAAATTAATTAAGATTATTAAAATTTATTATTTTAATTAATTTTATTAATTTAATTTATTATTTTACCATTAAAATTAATTAAGATTTATTAAAAAATCACACCGTTTGTAATACCGTGGATTGGAATTTCTTTAAAAAAAAAAAAACTTAATCGGATAATATATCGAGTGAAATTGAAATTTTCTGATCTGAAAATCTGAAGAAAGATACCTGAGAAGAATTGAAGCGACGCGTGGAAAAATCTGGGAAAAGAAAGAATCCTTCTGAAAAAAAAACTCGACTCGCTGCAACTTGACAACTTAGAAAACAACTTGCCAAAAAAAAAAAAAAAAAACGAATCATAAGAAGAAAGAGAGAGAGAGAGAGAGAGAGAGAGATTAATTTGTCTCACTTGATTCCGCAGATTGCCGGTTCGATTGAAAAAGACGACGGCGTAGTTGGACCGGGGGGAGAAGGACGAGGAGAGGAGTGGAAGGCCTGATTTAACGAGGTGGCATGCCAGCGCGACCTCCGAGCTCGGCTTCCCGGTACGTGAGTCAGGATCGCAGGAATCGGGCGCGAGGATGAGCGCAAAGATATCCCTGGCGAGCCGCGGCACGGCACAGTCGCCGGTCAACCATCGTGGCAAATCATCGTCGGGGCTGCTGCTCGCCGGGAAGTCTGTGAAGAGGCCGTCGTCGATGAGTAAGTCGATACCTCTCCACGTGGTGTGTCGTTCAAGGAAAGGGAGAGGGAGAGAGAGAATCGAAGGAATTAAATTTAATTCGAGTTAAAATTCTATTCGATTCTCAACCAAGTTAAAAGTGTAAAGTAGACTCTTATCGACGTGTCGAAGTTGTTTATAAACGTGCGTTACGATATGTTTGTCTTAATCTTGGATGGAGGATGCGATCGAAGGATAAGTTTTTGTTTTATGAACAAATTTGAGAAAATTCGTAAATTAATTAAGCGAGAGAAGTATATATTTTATCTTATGAATATACGGAATGAAATAATTTTCTATCGGATTATTAATAATTTATGGTTATTATGGATACACGTTTTTTGAGATTACGATTGAATTTATTTTAGAATAATTAAATATTGTAATATTGTAGATTCGTTATATATGGTTATCGCGTTGGTAAATCGCGTGTCTCGTATTTATAACAATTACCTCATGCCTTATGGTTTTCCTTACGTGTTCATCGATTAAAAATGCGTCGAATAGATTCACGGATTCGGAAGGCAAAACAAGGAATCGAATTCTTGTTTCCGAGCGAGTGATGTGGCGCGTCCGATGTTTGGGAAACAAAGGGGAGGAGGGAGGGGAGGTGAATGGTCGTGTTTGAAAAATAGAGCGTTCTCTCCAACTCGAGTTTTCTAAAACACCAAACGTCGTTGCGCGCCCATTCTTTCGGATCACAATTGACGTTTCCGCCACGGAACGCGATGAATAATCGATTGATAATTTATCCTTACTGCCACGCGAGCGTGTCGCCATCACCTGTACGATTAATTTTAGATCGCGGAAACGATTCCGATAAATATAAAACTTTGTTCCAATCGATTCGAATCGCATCTCTATACCGTCACACGAGGTGCAATATTCCTCTTTCTGTAGTCGAAAATATCTTCATCTCGCGCGTCCCTTCAATGACGAGATCCAACCTCGAGATCGAGTCAATTTCAAACCCCGAGGTCGTTCCCTCGCCGAAAATACGCCGCGGCAAAAGTTTCGTTTTCGTTTCGATCGTGTAAGCAAATGTTCTCTCCGAACATTGCTTTGACATACTTGAGTCGACAAATTCTTTCCTCGCGTTGCGATGTAAGCAGGTTGGGAAGAGGGAGGGGCAATGCGCGAGTTTTTCGCGAATGGGAAGAAAAAGAAAATGGTGGAATGAATATACTCTAGTACGTGTTAATGGATTTATTAATAGAATTAATCGAAACAAAGTCAGAAATCTCAGTGTTAGATTTAAACTTGTTCAACAATCCAAAGACACTTCGTTATTATTGACTGGATCTAACAATAACCGGGGAAAGTTATACGTGTACGAAGGAATCAATGGTGAGAGACCTTGCGCGAACGATAGCCCTCTGGCGGCAGACGCGGGTAACATCGCTATAAGCGATCGATCCTCCCGAATAATTTTACACTTTTTACATTGGAAAAATCGATACGTTGTAAAGATTTTCCGCCACAGACAAATTTATCCACCAAAATCTTTTAATTTTGGAATTCTTTTTTGGAAAGCTTTGATAAAGCTTCGTTACTTAAATTAACTTATCTTCTTTACAAAGAAAAATCGAACAAATCTTCGCTGATAATCAGTATACGTACAGAGAGAGGGATTCGGAAAGAATCCCTTCAATTAAAATTCCCATCGTATTCCCAATGCGATAAAAGGAAAGAGAGAGAAAAAAAAAATAAACGGTGATAAAATCTCGGTTCGAAACGACCGGTTCTCAATTTGGTTCGCGTGGCCACCTGTTACGGTGGAGACACGGGAAATTTTGCAATAACACGCGCATACGAATATATATATATATATATACGTGTAATTCGCCCGACTCACGACTTAATGATACACCACTATACGCGTCACGAGATTACACGAGTCAACGAAGGATGCGTTCATTAGCCGTAGAGGTGACTGGCACCGAGGAAAGAGCCGTCAAACGAGCCGCTGTCCCAGAACTGGAAGCATCGTCCAGCTCGTCGCGTCCAAACAGTTTGTTGGAGAGAGAGAGCAACATGCCAGTTTTAACGCGCGCCTGCACTACTGCCACGCTCCCGAGGATCAAGAGGTTCAAATTCGCTTCGTTCGGTGAGTTGACATGTTCTATGTATATATGCATATATATATTTCTCGATTTTTTTTTTTTTTCCTTTCTCGGTTTTTTATCTTTCGATTTTTTTGTTCCCCAAAGTTTTATAACTTTGTTTGTTTCGCGATAAAGTGAACAGGATTAAAATCGAGGATCTGAGGTTTGTTTGAGTCGGGATTAAACGGAGAGTATATAGAAATTAATGTTTATTTATTCGCTTGGTTATTTATCATTATTATTATTATTATTATTGGTATTTTTTTATTTCAAATACGAAAGAAATAACGAGCAAGTAACAAGAGAGACGAGTAAGAGAACAAGTTTAAGAAATTTAAGACACGAGTAAATATTTTTATAATTGGTTCGTTTATCTCGAGAGAATAAGTATACTTACGAATTTGTCATGCTTTGCTCCAATTCCAATGCATTCTATACTTTGTTTTTTTTCTTTTTCATTGTTTCTTTCTTTCTTGCTTCTAAGATATCTTTTTATATTATTGATTTTAGATAATAGTTGTTGATAATATTTTCTTTTTTAAAAAACTTTTTTTATCATTAAAGATGACACGAAGCATAGGTCAGGATCACTGTTGCGCGATATTTCATCGTCGCTTTTAATTGCAATCGTGACGTTGCTTGTAAATCCGTGATTCATACACGCTAGTTTTTCTTAGCGTGACATTTTAAAAGTCACTTTACACGTTGCAATCGATCAGTCGCGTATCAGCCGATACGTATTCAAAGAACTGAATGAGCCTTCTCTAATCGATCCTTATCTAAACATCAACATCGTTCGTGTTTAAAACACGAAAAATTTCGATTTCCAGTTTTCTCGAGCGATTTACGTAACGTAGAGGAAAACAAGATGATCGATCCTCTGGAATAACAAATGACATCAATGTTGATATGGAACAAGTTGAAATAGAAAAATTTATAAGAAGAATTTTCCTAGCTGTAAAATCCATCGAAATATTATTTTCATTCTCGATCTTCTTCGTATTCGTTCATGTGAAAGAAAAATTCTGAGATCTAAAAAAGTCGAGATAAAATTAAATTTCCCTTCTATTCTTCCAACGATAAAATTTCTATTTTTAAATTAATCATCTTTAAAACTGGCGAGTGATTAAAGATCGGATGATCCTCTCTGAAGGTAATGCTATTATTATATTCGATAATAATTTTCCTTCGTATATCCTACTATTTATTTATTTACAAAAGGAACTTTGAACCCTGATCGAGTCATATTGAAATTAAATTTATTCCAGTGGTTCTCAATCAGTGAGTCACCGCTCTCGTTTTTAACCGAATTAACTTTTAATCCTCTCCAAAAGGCAATGTCGTTAATTCATTTCGATAATAATCTTTTTAACATATCTACTCTGAATCAATATTAAAAATTTCTTATAAATTCCGTACAATTCTCCTTCCTTCCTCGACCAATTATTTTTATTAATGAAAATACGATCCCGTTTTTACTAGAAATAGTTTTTACTAGAAATATATTTCAAAATAATGGTATATCTAAGAACCCTCAAACTCTGAATCAATATTAAAAATTTCTTATAAATTCCGTACAATTTTCCTTTCTTTTTCGACCAATATTTTTCCAATATTACTTTCCACGAAAATACGATCCCATTTTTACTAGAAATAGTTTTTACTAGAAATATATCTCAAATTAATTGTATATCTAAGAACCCCCGAACTCTGAATCAATGTTAAAAATTTTTTATAAATTCCGTACAATTCTCCTTCCTTCCAATATTCCTCTAGATTCCTCTAGAGCAATATTTTTCTAATATTACTTTTTACAAAAATATAATCCCGTTAAATTATTACTAGAAATATATCGCAAAATAATGGTAAATCTTCATTCTCGATCGAAGGAAGAAGAATTGAAGAAAAAAAAGAAAAGAAACGTTTCGTTATTTCGCAAATATTCCCTTTCCATCAAACGTTTGAAAATATATCGTAAAATAATAATAAATATTATTATAATATAATAATAAATATAATAATAAATATTCACTCTCGATCGAAGGAAGAAGAATTGAAAAAAAAAAAAAAAAGAAACGTTTCATTATTTCGTAAATATTCCATCAAATGTTTGGAAATATATCGTAAAATAATAACAAATAAATTAACAAAAAAATTATAATATAATAATAAATATAATAATAAATATTCACTCTCGATCAAAGAAAAAAGAATTGAAAAAAAAAAAAAGAAAAGAAACGTTTCATTATTTCGTAAATATCTCCTTCCCCCTCTCCCTTAAACGTTTGGATACTAATTTTCTTCGGGTCCAACGCACACTTCACCCAGTATTTGTCCGCGAATTGATTCGCGTATAAGAGACGCGGCTCGAATGCGTAATTACCGCGGAAATGGTATACTGGAGCAACTGGTCAACGGCATATATACAAATATAAATACCGCGGTTGGTTGGGCAAGCCGCACGTTGAGCAGAATCGGTGAGTCAAGTTGTGTGTGACGCCACACTTCTTCGAGAGAACCACTTTCTATCGCGGCATTCCGCTTGTCGTTCGACTATCGATGACTCGGCTGTAAACCGAACGTTCCACGTTCGAGAAAAAGGATGAGGAAAGAGAGAGGGAGAGAGAGAGAGAGAGAGAGAGGAGGGGAAAAAGAAAGAAAGAAAAAGAAAAGGGAAGATGAGAAACGACGAATCGTTTCGTCACGATCGATCGTAAATTGCTGCGTAAACCAAGAGCTTCTGATAACTCGCGGTGTTCCATTTCGTTTTTTCCTTTGCGTTTTCGTTTTTTGGAGGGGGAAGAGGGGAAAGAGGGGGGGGGGGGAGGGCATTCAACGATTCTTCGATGAATCCCTCGTTATAGTCAGTTGAGTCACAGTTGAGGTTTAATTATGTGTCGTTGTGACGATTTTGCAATGTTGCGTTCTCATATGCTCGAGTAACGTGAAGTTGTATACACGAGGTAAACGTTTACGTAAATTCGTAACTTTTTTTTATCGGTAGATAATTGTTTAAATGGAAGATAAGATTCGATTGTTCGTGTTCCAAATATAGTAATGAATTTATTTTTATTTAAAACGTGCAACACGGTTATATGTGTTCTTTCATTTTTTGAATAATTAAATGAATAAAATAAATAAAGAAAGAAATGGAAGGTAAGATTTGTGTTCTAAATACAATAACGAGTATTTTCTTTCATATACATACATGTTATAACGTGTTATTTGATATTTTGATTCGATTTAAATAAATCATTCCAATTTATTCCATATTCGTTCTTGTAATATGATAAAGTGAAATAATTCGTCAACTTGCCCTCTCGTTCCCGTAAAATCATTCGAACAACAATTAATCGAATTATTACTCGTAGATCAGAATACGATAAAAATAATCCGACAATCGTGTCTCAATCTTTGCCTTCACTTGTTCAACTTGGAGATCTTCTATCATCGATAATTTTCAAATTTTCAAAAAAATCCGTTATAATAATAATAATACATAACAATTTGACAATTTGACAAATTTCGACAATTCGCACAAAGATTCGGGTTTTGACGGGGGATCGGTCGCCGTCAATGCGACGAAATTAAAACGAAATGGAAATTGGCTCTCGGTGCTAAGTGTGAATGAGGAAGCCGCGTGGGACGGATCCTGTAATTGGAACTTCTTGTTTGAATTTTTTATTTGTCAACGTTGCTCGATTTATCCCATAAATAATTCATAACGCGTATCCAGCTTCGATGATCTGCATAAAGGAGTTTGAGGAGTTGCACTGGTGGGTAAGTAGATGCGTGTGTTATGCGCATCGAATCCATTCTTTTATTATCTGTACACTGTACACCGGGTGACGTCAGGCTGATAGCGCAAAGACGCGTGTTTACACGCGAACGAGGCTGTGTACTCTGGTTGTTATCGGTGTTAGCGGCAAGTGTTACGAGCTACTACTATAAGCATGCGACAAATAATATAAAGAGGAAATCGTGGCAACAGATATCATCTCTCGCTCTCTAAATTTACCGAGCCCCGATTTCGAGCGAGACTCGATAAGATTTCGACCCGTCGAGAATCGTGGAAAACGAATCGTGGAAACGAACGAATCGAGAAATCGAGAATCGTTTTATGAATTATGATAAATTCGTGTATATATATATATTCGTTGGATCGTGATAAATTGATGAAATTACACTTGTGCTTCGTAGCTTCTCAAAATTAATAATAACTTGTCAGCAAATTTAACGTGACACGCGACTCTTAACACGTCACGTTTACGAATAAATGACTTCATCGAAATGTTAATTTGTGACGCGCGTGGTATCTTCCACTTTTCTTCTACTTTTTTTTTTTTTTTTTTTTTTTTTACAAATTTTTGATACATTGATTGCGATTCTTTTAATTTCGAGAAACTCAGTCCTCGGTGCAGCAAACGAATTATTCGGAATTATTCAGATTTCTTTCTCACATCAGAATCCTATTTTATCCTTCGTTATTCTTCGTTCAGAAAATATTCGATTCTACTTTTCACGATTTTTTGATTCCTGATATATTAAAACCTACGATTATTCTTTTAATTTCTGGTCATTTCTATCAAAAATCTCAACCTCCTCAATGTAATCGACTCAGAATTATTCAGATTTCTTTCTCACATTAGAATCTACGATTATTCCTTTATTTCTGATAATTTTTATCGAAAAACTTATTTTCAGTACAGTAAAATAATCGTTCAAGAAATCATATTGATTCTACTTTTCACAATTTTCTGATTCCTGATTTATTAAAACCTACGATTATTCTTCTAATTTCTGGCCATTTATATCAAAAATCTCAGTTTCCTCAATATAACAATCAATTCAGAATTATTTACATTCCTTTTTCATATTAAAATNAAACCTACGATTATTCTTTTAATTTCTGGTCATTTCTATCAAAAATCTCAGCCTCCTCAATGTAATCGATTCAGAATTATTCAGATTTCTTTCTCACATCAGAATCCTACGATTATTC